CTAGACTTTCCTTTTGTCAGTGATGGTATATCACCACTGGAAGAAAATTCACAATACTACAGCACACTTTCTATCAATGGAAATTTTTATCAGAAATAAGGTATGCTTTCTAATAAGATACTGAAGTTTCAACAAGATGCTCATGGATTAGTCCTTGAACTAAACTAGACAAGATGACAAGGACACCCTTTAGCTTGACAGTCTCTAGAAAGCTGCTGAACAGCAGAATAACTACTAAGGCCCACCAGGGTAACACCTTCGCAGAAACAACGCTCTCCTTCGCACTCACCCAAATGCTGCAGATATTGCACTGTCCTCTCATGGCCCTTCAAAGGCGAGTTGGCTTTCTTTGACTGATCCACCAGTACCTGTAATGCTTTCAGAACAACAAAAAGGTTAATCCCTTTGTGATCGTAAGTATCATCCCAATCAAACCACACAAGTGCACTTGCCTGTTCTGCTACCGCAGACAAAAGTTTTGTTTGAAACAGATCGAATGGGTAACAGAAATGAGACCAATTTAATCACAAGACAGACCCAGAAACAAAGCCTCTTCAGAATATTGCCTGATCACTAAAAACAAGCTAAAATTCAATACTAAGGACACGTGCTCTTATCCCTTCTCCTCTCCACCTCATACCTACCTTTCTCATGCAGACCTTTCTTCTCATACAGTATGATCAGCTCACTGTATTTGTGTGCCTTCTTTAGCACATGCTCACTCTCCTCAATGTGGCAGTGATTGTTCTCCAGACGTAGCAATGGTGCCACCAGTGCTACATTTGTCTGCAAGCAAAAAGGGAGCACTTAAACATACTTCTGATGTGCACCTTCTAAGCCTATAGTACAATAGAGAAGGGGAAAAAAAATAGCCTCATAGCCTAAGAAATGACAGGCTAACATCTTAGAACAAGGCTACGTTCACTTCATAATTTGTTGGGACAGAAAGAAAACAATATATCAGAGGTCTTCCCCTTCAAGAACAGAGGTCAACTTTGAAAAACATAGTTAACAGCAAAGATTGTACTCTCCTGCATTTAACAGCTCAAGGCACCATGAAGAAGCATTCATTAGAACTGCAAAATACACAGCCACGGCCTTTCAACAAGAGGCAGCAACCAGAAATGGATACATCCACTTTATTTCGTGGAACTACTTCCTAATCAGGGAGCAAACTAGCTAACGCCAATGTTTCACAGATCGTTTTTAGACCACAGACAGGCATCTGAGAATTTCTCAAGCAGCTCCTTATTCTCCTTAAACATTTCAGCCCGAAACTCTAACAGAGCTTGTATGGTAAAGGAAAGTCCTCAACTCACATGAAGGTAACACTTCAACAGGGTGGTGTCAATGATTTGCAGTAGCTTCTTTTTGGATTTGATCGTGGGTGTTCCTTCCATGAGGGGTGAGGTGCTGGACTGATGGTCAGAATCATTTAGCTTCTTCACCAGCTGACTTCTTTTCTGCAGGGCATCAAATGAAAATTTCATAGGAAAAGGACATGAATTTCTCCATCCTACCCCAGCAAATGTAATGCACCAAGTAAAAAGACTAAATCACACCAATTTAATAACTTGATTTAATCTATTTTCTCCTAAAGAATTGTTACTGTTACTAACTATTCTACACATCACCTTTCCAACTATATTGAAGCACATACAATTGTTTCACAAATTCGTAGTTTTGCAAGATATCCAGTCTCGAGAAAAGAGACAGAAGGAAACTCTGTTAACCTGAACAGAGAAGTCAGAAGAATTTTAAAATATTTGGAAAACTATTTAGATTTTGAACTACTAGGCACAAAATTTACTCTCCTTCAGACACAAGCTTCCTTTTAGTCTAGTAAGAATGGCAACAGAACAACTCAGATTCCAGTTACAATAAAGAGGACAGGAAGTTACAGAACCCACTACCTCCTCTTCCACCTTTTAATGCATAGTTTTGACCTGTCTCCCAGACAGAGTCACCTCCTCGACAGTCACCAATTAAAACCAAAAGATCACCAGCTTCAGTTCTCTTCAGAAGGCTACTAGAAATAAAAACTGGACTCATATTCAGATCCAGTCCATAAATAAGTTTTGTCCAGTCCACACAAAAGTCACATGTGATACCTCCCACGTATCTGTGGAGCACCTCATGTCTCCCAGTCACCCTGCTTTCTTAGGAGCTGCTGGCACAGCTTCCAACCATGAAGACAGCCCATTAAGGTTGGCATGACAGAGCTGGAGTAGGCGTGCTGCTCCCTGCACATCAGTTAATCAACAAGGTATGCTAAAACTGAATTAACCTGCTCTAAAAACAGATATAGGAACACTCACTTGAGTTAGGTAGTCTATCAGAGCTAAATGTGCCTTCTCCAGCTCTGCCCCAGAGAGCCCTGGCAGGGGGTTGGGATACTGTAGCTGCTTCCTGTAATCAGTGGGCAGGAGGTCAGGATACAGACCCATCACATGAGTGGGATCTAAGCAAAAAATAACTAGTATTAGTAACCATCCATAACATTATTTTTGCAAACTCTTAAATGCACGTAATCTTTGAGTAAACTTAGCTAACAGAGCTGTCTGTAGTTAACTCATACATCCACAAGTTTATTACAGAGAAGAAGTTAAAAAAGGTAAAAGCAGCAAGCAAGACTGTTTCAAAGTCCAAATACAAATTCCAATCTGTGTGCTTGGAACACCTGGATGACAAGTCATTATTACAATCCTCTTACTGCTGCTCTTGTAGAATCCCAGCAAAAACAACTCTGACAGTAGGACAGGATTTCTAGAAACAAGTAATGTTTTATGAGAAGATTTTCTGTGCTTTTGAAACATGAACTCAATAGCACCATCTGTAACTAATGAGTACCGGTTCTCCTGGCATTCAAGCAAATTTAAAATTACTGCCTTCTAATTAAAGTTCAAAGAATTTTGAATTCTTAGTCCTTTTATTTCACTGTAGTTTCCCAAAGTAAATACGATGTTAAGTGTCATCAAGACAAGTAAAAGTTCCAGGTTTAAATGTACCTGAGATGTGCTGTCACCAATAAAGGAATCTCAACACAATTTTACACTACAGTCCAGTCTTCAGGTGTTCTTCTAATAATCCTAGTACAAGCCAGAGGAATAGCACCAGAGACTATTTTGACTTCCAAAAGCATGGAAAAGTTTCCTGGCTTCAACAGCTTGGTCCATTAAACAGGAACAGGGTTAAGAGTCCTAGGTTTGGTCTGAATCGAAGGATTTCGCAAATCTACAGATGTTCCTTATTTTTCATTCCAAGCTACAAGTAGACTTTTGACAGCTGCCAAACCCCTCAACTTCGAGGAGCTTTGTACCTGCTATACACATCTACAATACAAATACATTGTGTGCAAAAGGTAAATCTATGATTTAACTCACTAACTGAAGTTAATTAAGTACTCTAACCAGTTTCACAAAAACAGAAAAGGTAAATAACTGCTGAGGCTATTTGCCATTCACAGGTGACTGGTCTGCAAAAGGAACCACTGTTTTAAATCAAAAAAAACCCAGAGAAACAAAAAAGTCCAGACAATGGTCTGAGTTTCATTTCATTCCTCCTAACCTATGTATCTCAATGCCAACCCAAGTATTTACCTGTACCAAGCTTGGCAAAAACTTGCATGGATTCATCAAAGCGCTTCTGGCAGAAGAGATTGAAGGCAAAGAGGTTCTTTATGTGATGAATTTGTTGCCGCTTCTCACTATCTGAATCATCTTTCATTTCCTGCAAACACATAATTAATGAATGCTAAAAACTCTTGGGCCTTGTAAATGAGAAGGAAACACTCTACAGAAATAACAGGAGTATCCTCCTTTGGAGAGAGTAACAAGTAAAAAGATAGTCTTCCAAAGTGAACACCTCTGAAGGTGACTCACAGATGCTGTGCATCTTGTACTACTGCCATAACCTGGAATTTTTGAAAGCTGCCTCTTGTTAACTATATAATTGCTCTACCACAGCAACTATCTCTTCACTCATTTGCCTTTTCCAAAGTTCTTTTTTTCAAGGGAGCAATACAAAATACTATTAACTCGTTTCAATGTAGTTCCATGGAAGTTTCAGGAAACCAGAAAAACAGCTAAGAGCAATATAACCAAACATATTGCTTCAGCATCTCTAAGAAATTCAGGGGTAATGTGGAGGACCATTACCAAAAAAAAAACCATGAAAAACCAAACCAGCTAGTGGTCATTTGACAAAACAAAAACAGACAACTCTCAAGCAAACATGATTGCAAGCAGTCTAAAGACTCTGAAGTCTCCAAGAACGTAACCAATTAAACAGGTCGGAGAGAGAATCTTCCACATACAAGATATCTCAAAATCTAAACCCCAATAGATGAGTATGGAGAAATGGAGCACAAACCTAAAACTTGTCAAAAAAGGCCCGAGTTTACCAGTTAGTGCAAAGTAGACAGCAGGTTAAACAGTCAAGCAGAAGTCAAACGCCCTTTTGTGCATTTTTGCGTAAGTACACGTGCTGCAAACCCAAAGATTTTCGAGTACTTACTGCCAACTGCAGAGCCAACTCAAACTGCTTGTCCTGCAGAAGCTGCTGGATCTGTGTGGCTATGGACACAGGAATGAGCCGCCAAACAAAGTGATTACTTGCCACATATATAATATTTGTGCTGTAAACAAGACAAAAAGTTCCAGCAGTGACAAAGAAGAAATACCCTACCTGAAAAAACAACCACCACCACCAATCCCAATTAATACACTCATGGATCAGTCAGATATGATGGCAACCTGAGTAATAGTGCAAAGCAAAAAGAATAATTTATGTCCGGGGATAAGAAGCTCCCAAAGACATTCAACTCTATGATTTACTCTTCTAGGCGTGGCCTCCATCCATCTGTTCATTAAAAAAAAACAAAATAAAAAAAAAAATAATCAACAGGCTGCTTCAATGCTACTTCTTAAGCCAAGGGAGTTGGAAAAGCTCTTCCTCTCCCAGTTCTTCCAGAGTGCTACCATACACCCAGGCAGCCCAACGAAAGTAACAACCAGTTATACTCGATACCCTCCAGAGGTGATGAAGCGTGGTCTCTGCAGCTCGATGCTCTGTACCAGCAGCCGGGGCTCAAAAGTGCGGATCTCCACGTATCGTGGCAGAACAGCAATGATGTAGGGAGGCTGGTGTTCTATTAGTGAAACACATGAGGAATGTAAGTTGATTGCTCTCAAGTGCTCCTTGAAACAAGGCAAGACTTAAAGTAAGGTTTCTCTTCAATTTTTTTCTCTTCCCCTTTAAATGTGTCCCTTGCTTATTTATTAAAAACAGAACTTAATGCCCAACACTGACAACAACTTTCAAACAGACTGCTACTAGGCTTTTTGTTTATCTTTCAACATAAGGAATTTCTGCAGCACTCAGGTGCCCAGAAGAACTAGAATGTTTTAACACACTATCTTCCATTTCAAATCTCATTCCTTTATAAAGATATGCAACTCGTCCATTTTCCAAGCAGGAGACGGCTTCAAGCAAGGAAGAAAAAAAAAAAAAACAAACACATAAAACCTGCCACTGAGTATAACTTGAAATACTTCAGAAATTGCCACACTCCAAATCCAGCTAGATTCTAAATACCAGGAATGTAACGATTTTGTCTTATGTAAAAGAGTAAAGAAGCAAATTTTTAAAAATTCTCACCCATGGCTATAGGAATATCTGTCCAATTCAAGGCACATTTCTGAGTACAGACCCCTTCTTCATTAAGCACGACTGTCAGATCATCCTGGCCAACTGCAACTTTTCCATCTGCTACAGGAGCTACCAATGGTTCTAGCTGCTTTCCTGTGGGGAACAGCTCCTTGATGGATCCTTTTCCATCCACCTAGGATAACAAAGAAGAAAACAATCTGATTCTCAGTATAACCTTTATTCCAAAGCTGTCTATGACCAAGCCAAAAACACACATACGTGTGTGTGTCATACCTCATCTTCACCTTATTTTCCTATTATATAGGTGGAAGACTGTTGTAAAGGCAGAAAAGAGAATTGAATATAGCTGTCAAATTTCAGAGACTTTCACAGATTTACGTTAAGTGGAAACTGCAATGCTGAATTAAAAATACTAAGTTTAAACACTTTAAAACTGAAACAACTACAGCTGAGCAAGAGAATAGACAAAAGAAAAATAGTTAAGCTCCACTGTCAGATAAGAAGATATTCTTTGCCTCTTCTCCCTTTAGGATCTATCACCTTTCTTAATACGCTTAATAAAGAAAAATAAAGCAAACAAAAAAAACCACAACACCCTGAGCTTACACAGACTGCTGCCAAACCAAAATATGTATTTTCTGATGCCTTTTTTGCAAGAGCTTCAAACAATGTTTTCAACAGTAATAAACAATAGATCACTACCTGACAAAAAATTAGCTTAAAAGGACAGACTTAGACTGCCCTTTCCAAAACCACATGTAGCAAGAGTACCAGGTACTGTTTTTAATAAATGTCTGTTAGCTAAACCCCTGAGCAGAGGAGCAGCCTCCAAATCTTCTTAAACATTGTATTCCGAAACCCTAGCCTTACCCGGATCAGGTAGTAGTCCCTCTTGAAGCCTACACAGATGGAATTTTCACACCAGGCCATAGACTTGGGTACATCAGGTACACTGAAGTCCCCCTGAGAAGGCAGAAGAGGAGGAAAAAAAAAAAGGAGAAAAGCAAAAGTCAAATCTGGCAACATGGTGTGTAACACACAGCACAGCTGTTGCCTCTGTATTCCCCACCACAACTTCTGCTGGTCAAGGAACAGTATTCGACTAAAAGGCTAGGTCTGTGCATAGTGGGAAGCTGTGCTCCAAGTCAGTCTAGTTAATCTCACAGAAAAGCAGCATAGCTGAAAAAAATCTCTATTTCCACTGATTATTTTTTTTTATTACTCTGGTGTTCCTAAGTGCAGTTCTCTACACCTGTTGTCAGTAACTACCTTCTGACTTAATGACACACACAGAAAACTTGGAGTAGAAGTGGACCCACTCCCATAGTATTACTGTTAGGTATACACTTACGGAGGCTGCACGCTAACACATTCCACGGACTTACAAGTGTACTACAATCAGAATGTTACAACATAGAATACAGCCTTTGATTTAATTTATGAAACTCATAAACTGTGATTTCAACCATGTATTTTCACTTTTATTTGCTGGTTTATTGTTAAAGCACTGCAGAACCAGCTGGAGTCAACGCTCTGAAAATGAGCAGTGCCTCTGAATAACAGGGACTGCAAAGCAGAGTCAAGAGCAGCTGCACTCCCTTTTGCAGCATGCTACACTACAGACGGGACACAACTCACCTGCAGTTCATGGAACTCTCGGTCCTTCCAAAAATAAAGTTGTAGTTTCTTCCGCACCGCCACGCACATTCTCAGCACCTCTTCCCCTGTATCTGACTGCTGTGAAAACAAACAGGCCTAACTCATAGGTGCTTAAACTAAGAGACAAGTAAGATAATAGAAGGCCAAAAGAATCCTCAGCCTTGAGGCAAAGCCGTCAGCTGAAGAGCAGCTTTAATGATCTGTGCCAGAGGGCAATCCCTAAACAAGGAAGCACAGAGAGAAAGGGGGCAGGGTAATTAGAAATTAACTTTGGCAGGGATTGTGACACCAAGGAAATAAATTAGAGCACCAAAAGACATACAGCACATAAACAGAAAATAAGCAGAGAGTAACGAGCTCAGGCCTGAGCAGTATAGGAAAGGGGAGGAAATGCAATAATGCAAAGAATGTGTTATATTGACAGATAAAAACATTAATATTCTAATATTGTAGTCTACTGGACAAGTTTCCTGACAAGAAATACCAGCAAAGCTAAGTGCTGGTACAACAAGGCGCAAGTACTTTGGAATGACCAAACTTAGAGGTGCTTTGAAAGACATCACTAGTTTTAATACTCAGAAAATCCTAAGTACTTATTAGAAAATATTTAACACTAAGTTCCCATGGGCCAAAGAAACAGGAGGTGGTGGATGTGCCATCCCTGGAAGCATTCAAAAGACATGTACATGTGACGTTTGAGGACATGGTTTAGTGGTCACGGTAGTGTTGGGTTGAGGGTCAGACTAGATGACTTCAGAGGTCTTTTCCCACCTTAATGATTCTATGAAGCCATGTCTTCTGGTTACAAATAAGATTTCCGAATGACATGGGTAGGCTGAAAAACCCACTTGGATAGAAATCAATCACTTAATAACTGCCGCACAGGAACTGAGAATTGCTATTCCTTACAGAACCATTTTATGGCCTGAATCTATCACAACTGCCCTGTGACTCCTTGGGCCAGTAAAGTTCAAAAGAAACAAAATCATAACAAAATGAGAACCTCTATGAACGAGTATAGCGGCAATCAAAGGGAAGCGAATGGCTTTTATATTGAATAGGATCTTTCAAAAAAGAAGACAAAGTTAATACGGGATAAAAATGCCTTGAAGTTTTATATCAGGATGTTAATGGCAACAATCACAACAGACACAGGAAGATGATTTATGAAGCACAGGAAGACAATTAAGGTGGCTACATTAAAGACTGTTGCGTTAAGTAAAGCTTCAACATCCAGTAGGTACTAATTTTAAAAAGCACTAGTAGTACCCAAGCAACCTGAATATAGCACTGAATTAACAAACATAATCCATATGGTAACATTAAAAAAGTTATCCTTGTTGCAAAGAGTAAGGACATCTGTGCTGCTGTGTTCCTCTTACCTGAAGATCACAAGTAAAGAGAGATGCACCTTTTGCCTTGGAAACTGTGGTGATTTGTTGAAATGTCAACAGGTCATGGACGTAAATGTTATTTTCTGTTTTAAACAAAATTCCAATTATTATTCAATATGTAATACATAGAAAGATCATCATTAATTCAAGTAAGTTATCACATTTAATGTTTAGGTAAAAAGAATAACTTGTGAAACTAAGTGCTGCAAGAAAGGAAAAGGAAGGTTTTCCCAGAAGCTGAAAAGTGCTAAGGCACATACAAGTACAAGACAACAAATGCAGAAAAGATTAACACCAGTGTTGGTAATATTACATGAAGGAACCAAGAAGAGGTGTTAACCAAGCAGAGGAAGTGAGAGTGGAAGGGGCAGCAAGCACGCCAAAGCAGAGCGAGTTCATAATGGGAGACTATCTGAACAAAGACCATTTTGAACTGGCTCCCAAACTTAGTGGAAAGTGAACAGCTGCAAATCGAGAGTACTGCGGTCAAGCTTTTGTACGCACGAGGACGCAGGCAGCAGAAATCTACACATGCTGGAGTTGGAAGAGCTGGGACTTGATCATTGAGAAGAAGCAGTAACATAAGCAAAAAAAAAAAAGGCATAGAAAGATCCTAAGGTTAAACAAACACAGTCAGAGACAAGCAAACTTAGATCTTCCACAAGATGGTAAAAGATCACCATCTGTATATAGACTGAATTTGGTGTAACACACCAACAGAAAGTTTCACGTACCAAACAAGTTTGGACGGGAGTTTTAGCCCCTATGATACGGTGCACACACATACACATGCATGTATTTATATACACATGCCAATACAAACTAAATACATGTATATACAGACACACTTCAGTGCACGTATGCATTTCTTCCTTTTTAATCACAAAACTTAGCATTAATACTTAGTTCTCCAAGCTGGCTTACAACAAGCAAAGCTGCTTCTCAATCTATGCTGCATAACGCTTCCTCTGCAAAGTGAAAAAGCCTAAATCCTACAAGATGATTTTTCAACCACCAGGCTCCTATGGTGGTCTGGGGAAAGGGTGCCATGTTCAGCTAAGTGACTGCATCTAGAAGATGCATCAGTAGATATTAAAACATTTTCTTCACTTACCTAATAGACTGACCAGAATTTTAAACTGAGAAACAACATGAATCTGAAAGAAAGAATTCCATTAGTGACTCCATTCACAAACTAAACCTCTGAACAAGGCTTGATTATAGATAGTCTAAGAAAATACATCTTAGTTTCTCTCAGAATAATGGAAACAGCAAGGCAGCTCTCCATTCACAATATTCCTCCAGCTATTGCTACCTCTTCTACTTACACTTGAGGTTTTGCAAGCTAGCATATAGAGCTTGCTGGTAAAAATATGCTGTAAGCGGTACATTGCTAGTACATAAGTACTTCTAAAGGATATGCAGAGCGTTGCTGAAAGAGGCTGTATAACCTTTGAGGTGCTTTCCTATGTATCAATATAATCAATGAGTTAAAGTTCTCCAAAAAAAAAATCAAAACGTAACAAAAACAGTAGTAAGGCTGGCAGTAGATAATCAGCTACTTTAGTTCTAAATTCCAAGTAAGAGGAATTACATTCACATTCCTACAGAGTCAAATTATATATTACAGTCTGCTGGTGTATTACCATCACTTTCACAAATATTCTCAGTCAGAGCAGCTGAAAATTTACTGCGAGAAACAGCAATCCCATAAAAGCCAAACATAAAACCTGTAAGTTGCAATTCTTTGTTTTCTGCTTTAGCAACCAAACCAAACTTAACCCTATTAAGGGAAAACTGAGCAAACACACCAGGCTGTGCTGCCTCTGGGAGAACCTATAGTTTGGGGAAAACTTTGTTAAGCTTAGCAGAGACTCCAGAAGTACATCTGAGATTTCATCTCTTGGCTGAAAACACTAGAAAACTGTCCCCGTATCAAGCTGACGGTATTTCCTACCTGTTGAATCTTTTTTGAGAAGTTCTTGTTGGATTTCTCCAAGGTCACTTCAAACCTATTGCAACCTACCAGAAAGATTTGAGAGAATATGTAAACTGAAATTACCCTTGAACTTTTAACTGAACATATCTTACTCTAAATAGATCACAAAGAATTATGAAAGCAAACTTGGCCATTTAACACTAGAAGAATGACTCTTCTAACATATATGTGCCATTTTTTACTCAACGGCTAAATGCATCAGAAGGTCTTCTACATAGTCAGGTGAAAACGTAAATTATGCCTCTTTGTACCCATCCGAGGGCCTCATCAACAGTTACGTTTTTGCCTTACTGTAATTTTAGAATGCAAGAATTACATTTAAGTAGTTTGAAACCCAGAGATACCCATAAAGACTTTATCAACACCAGTCAAATATCAGCAATTTAAATTGCTAGGGAGCACATCACTGCAAAGCAGACAAGAAATAAACACTACACCACAAGGGTTTAAAAGGAGTTTTAGGGATAAAAGACTTACAGACACTTTCTGATGACATAACCTCTCCTGGCATTGATGCAAAAAAGGGGGAGAAATTTACCATGTGAGATAAGACACTAGTAACTCAAGACTAGCATGTTCTAAGTGGAACAGATGGCCTACACATTCCAGAAAAAGCAAGCTAATTTCAGTCCCTAGCATCCAAGTATCCCTAAGTGAACATCCTTCCAAGAGCTGATGAACTTGGAAACAGATGTTTCTTTATTTTCTTTCCTGTCCCACACTACAAGACATTACTGTGATTAATAACATCACTTTCTACATAACAACAGATACAGCAAAATACAAATCTGTTCAGTGAAAATCGATTTTAACTGAGCTGAAAATGGAACAGCTTTATTTGTGGCATCTTTAGAATCGACAGTGAACACTTATGACTGTCAGAGAGGCACGGGTAAGAGTAGATAACATGACAGAACTAGTTCAGAGGGACCCCTCTTCCCCACCCCTTGATGCTCATGGACCCACTGAATAAAGATACTTTTTCACTAATCCAGTCCTTTCTTAATAAAAGACAACCATCAAATCTCTAACAACTAGCACACAGAACTGCTTTTGAGCATGTTCATATTCTGTATTCACAAAAAATCAGAGTAACTTGCTATAAATTTAAACACATGGAGACCCAATATAAAGTATACTTTAAAACAACAAAAAAAAGGCTGATACAACTTGCTATCTTTCTGGCACATCTGATAAATACTACGTACACTTTCACCAAACATCCCACACAAGTATTAATTAAACTCTACATAGGAAAAAAAAAATCAGCACTTAAACACACTTCTGTGAACATCACTACAATCCCCAGAAGCACAGGAAATAAAAATACTATTATTGACTTTTTGTGCCATTCTTAAAATCAACTCACCTATGTCTTTCTTTATCCTGTAGAGCAGCAGATGCCCTTGTTTGGTACCAACAAGGAGCCATTCCTCTACAAAAACAGGGAAGAAATCTAATTAGCTCCAGCAAAGACTGCCCTTTCCCAGCCAGGTTACATTTAAAAGAACACTTGGAAACTTGTTTCAAACGCCAAAGAGGACATTCTGTGGTGACTACACACATGTCGCCTATCATCTCTCTGGCAGAAGTGCTCAGAAGTACATTTCATTCTCAGAACAGGATGGCCAAAGATCAAACAGTAAAACAGAGAGCACAGCCTAGACGTCACATCCCACTCGTTCATACAAAGATAAAGGCAGCAAACCATTTCAGCTTTTGCAGTGTCAAAACAGGCATTAAACCATTCTTCAGACATTAGTAAATCCCAGAGAGGAACAATGCTACATAGTCAAGAAGAAAAACAAGGAGTTTTGTGTGGGCTTGTTTGGTGTGTCTTTTTTTAATAGTCAGGTTTTTTGTCAGAATTTTCTGAAAGGGTCAGCTATGCCTAGAAGGTCAGTGGCAGCTTTGTTTAAGCGGCATGTGACAAACAACAGTCACTCAAAATTTGTAAGAGAAACTTTTTATACACAATCCATGTGGCAAAGTTGCAGGCTCTTCCTGTTTAAAACATTTATAGCATACAAAGGTACAGAAGTTTTACTGAGTCACAAAATACCATGGAAATTCTTCCTCCTTGCTGAAGATAATATGGAAAAGAAGTCTACACATATATATCTTTCTACATCTAGTACTTCCCCATTCCCAAATACACTGGTATTTTAATAAAATCATGTTTTCTGCAAGACTTTTCTTCCACTATTTGGTAGAAAAGTTGTAGAGACAGAATTACATCTCTTTCTACATAATCATACTGCAGGTTTAGGTTTTTTCCTACTTCAGCAAAATAAATGCTTTCAAAGACATAAAAGCCTCAACCCAGGAATAAGTTATATTCACATCTTCTCTACTACATAACTCTAGCATAAAGAACCCACTATTCTCGTTATAATTTTGCTCTTAAAACAGATTAAAGGAGTCACAATACCACAGCGTCTGGAGTTTTTTGGTTTCGTTAATCAATTCTGTGCTACAGCAGCAAGCCTGACGGAAACTGCTGAAGCAGTCTGAAAAGCCTTATCAAACCTTAGCACTACAACAG